TACTGATCGCCTCCTGTTTGCGAGTTATGATAGATTTATTGAAAATAATCTTATGTATCGTGAAAATATGAACTGTTTTTTAGTAACTTTATTTATTCATTGAAAATGGCATTTAAGAATGTTCAACAACAATACATAGTAGCAATACTAGTTTTAAAAAAGCAATGAGTATAATAATATATTGAAAATACATTCTGGCTATGTTCAAAACTTTCAGCATGGTGTTGTTTTTATTTTTTGTTACAAAATATATGCTTGACTTGTTGTGCCATTTATGTATGTTCTCAATTTCACGCTGTAATCTCCCATCATCGCAAAATTCCATCGTTTTTGATATCGCTGTTCCGTTATAAAAATATATTGGTTGAAGCACTCACCATGCTTATCGCTCACTGAATCAAAATAATTTGGAAAGACGTCTAAATGGAACTGTAAGAAGTACATCTTTAGTAACATCCTTGACCCCATTTTCATGTAGTTCCCGAGCATATCATCATTCATCACAGCATAGTTTTTCATCTCTGTGATTTCCTAAGAAATTTTTGACAACCAGTTTGAATGATTTCCAGGCAGCAAGTTCTTTCTGACTGAGTGCTGTTTCAAATTCATCATCCACCAGCTCTTCCCGAATTTGTACAGAAACACAAAGTATATTGATTGATGTAGTGAAAATATAGACTTTGATGGCGATTTCGTAAATTGAAATTCTTGTTCCTGGAGCTAATAAATTCCATTACTGTAAACGAGAGTCAAGAATTCTCCATGCTTCTTTGATAGAGACAAGTCACGAATCAGATCATTTAGCTCTTCTTGTGTAATCAGATGAGGCAGTTTATGTTGAGGTGCCACTAGATGAAGAGGGTGAAGATGATTCATTGTTTTCTTCACAGGATAACTTCATGAGATACTGGTTATATTGCAGATGCAATATCTTGATATTTAATGTGTTGTTTAGTTTTGCCTGAATATCCAGAAACATTAGTCATGCAAAAATTACAATCAGCTAGATGATCTTTGGGCTCACACCATATCTTATTCAGCCACTGTGCCAAGCCAGATGTGCAAACTGTACAACACACACGTGGAATCCAGTGTTTTTCTTGGTCACCAATTTTACACCAAAAATAGTGGTAGAAATCTACCTTTACCTTGTGTTTGATGTTTTTCCTTTGTGGAACTTTAATATATTTTCCACAAATGTAGCAGAAACTGTTTGGTTGATTTTTGTACTTTTGGATTTTACTTGAACTGGAGGCAGTCAGCATTTCAAATGATTTCCTAAAAAATATAAAATAATTTATATTTACAGAACTAGAGATTAAAATATTTCGAAAAAGAAAGATTTGCAGAATTTGATTATATCGCGGGTATGATGCCAGGAAGAAGATCGGACTTTGTTTTGACTGTGCACGGAGCTAGGCGAAGTGACCAACTGAGTGAGTGAGAGGCTACCGAGAGAGAGAGGTGTTTGACTCCGACCATTTTATGCTCAGTCGAGGGACTTCTCGAATGCTCTAGCAAAATGAGCAGATGAGGGTTTTGCGATTCCCGGGCGGAGCGGGTGAGCGTGGGAATGAAGCAAAAGTGGTGTAATTCGCTACAATTATATTGAGAACAAATAGCATATATGAACAATACATTTGGAATTTTATACCAATACAGTCAGTGTTTGAAGTTTTACTCATTAAATTGTACATGTAAACTTAATTTCACAGCCTAAATCTATTGCATGGTATTTCACATAGTGCTGATATAATATTGAGATATTACAATAACTCAAAATCTAGAGACAATGGACAAATTCTTGCTAGATTTTTTAAATCAGCACCATCAAATTATCCTGAATCGCTTGAGTTTTCTCCAGTAACGAATCTTTTGTTGTCCAGTGTTATCAGTCCGTGTGAAATTCAGATTTAAAACTATTAGTTACTAACATAATGCATAATTCACGTGCTAGTCTTCACAAATTTTACATTTTATTCTATTACTATGAAAAAAGTTTCCCTTTACAAACAGAAATATACGAATAAAAATATTTTTCAGAAACAGTAAGATAATAAAAAAACAAAAATTAGTGTTTGGTAAATGATTACAAATAGAGAAACAACAAATATTTAGTTTATTTCTTTATTTTTAAGATCATGAAAATAGCTTTTTTTTAACGAAACTTGGTAGCCGAGAAACTATTACAGTCCACTTGTTCCATATAAGCACCACATTCTTCTGCTCATATTAACTTGTACCTGACGGAACTTGGTAGCTGAGAACCTATTACAGTCCACTTGTTCCATGTAAGCACCACATTCTTCTGCTCATATTAACTTGTACCTGACTGAACTTGGTAGCTGAAAAACAATTACAATCCACTTATTCCAGTTAAACTAAATTCACTTTCTTATGTTGAAATTAACTAAAATCATCTGTATATACAAATGTACGCATCTATATAAAAAACAGAGAAACACGCCTTGTGCTACAGTATGTTCATTATGTTTTAGGTAAGGTTACTATATTTTAGTCCAAACTGAGTTCATGAATTGGCTGCTTGTTGTAACACCTAGTATAAGTAGACAACATTTGGTAAGTATTTCCTCCTAGTGGGACTGTTTGTATGTAAGTTATAAGCAAACTCCTGTCTTCTCAATCCATGGAATAGGCCAGTGGCCTTATACGTTGATTGACCTGTGTGCTACTAACCGAATTTGTCCTTAAACCCTGTTGAACCCCCGTACTTCTCACGAGATGGGTTAGTGGTTTACTCTAAATGTGTGATTATACGCCGAACCCGCTATCTCTAAGTGTTAAAACATTGATTAATTTTATAAGTAAGGAGTGACGATTGAGACCTTGGCATTTAACCATAATATTCTTCCGGTTTTAATCACTGTCAAAGTGAATCCATGTGATAAGTTTGATTATACGAACTTTGTTCCTTAACTAGCTATCGTGGTGGATCTTTTGATACATGCATGAAATAATTACCCACTTATAGAACATTTAAAGGCCTACTTATCCATAATGCAAGTTAAGATTCCTCGTCTCTGACTAATTATTGAGCAGTAGCGCTTGTAATTTTGACATTTCATCCGAATAATGAACTATTTATAGAAAATGTTTATCAATAAAGTAAATTTTGTTAAACGAACCCTATTCCTTATCTTGTTATTGACCATAAGCGATTGTGACCTTGATATTTCGTTGAAATAATTACCCATTTCTAGAAAATGCCATGGTTTATTTACAAAGTCAGCTTGATTATGTGAACATATTTCACCAAAAAAAATTTCCTGTTTTTAGTAAATGCATGGCCAAGTCATTTAGCAGGTTTGATTATGTCAGTTTTCTACCTCAATCATTCTCGTTGCCTTGAAACACAACGTAATGTCAAAACATGTGGTATTTAAACGATATGAACCTTGTCCGTCATCTAGTTATCAAGCAGAAATGTGTGGCATATAATAATGTCCAATGTACGTGGCAGGTTTGAATATATGAACATTGTCTGTTATCTAGTTATAATTTTCAGTTTATACTAGGTGTCGCGGACAATGTACGTGGCAAGTTTGAATATATGAACATTGTCTGTTATCTAGTTATAATTTTCAGTTTATACTAGGTGTCGCGGACAATGTACGTGGCAGGTTTGACGACATGAACCTTGTTTTGTTTGTTTGGAATTAAGCACAAAGCTACCAAATAGGCTATCTGTGTTCAGCCCACCACGGGTATCGAAACCCGGTTTCTAGCGTTGTAAGTCCATAGACATACCGCTGTGCCACTGCGGGGCGACATGAACCTTGTCTGTTATCTAGTTATTTAATAAAGACGTAATAATATCCAGTTTCTAGTAGGTGTGGCGGCGGATAATGTACGTGTCAAGTTTGACGATATGAAATTTTTCTGTTCTCCATTTTACAGTAAAAATAGGAATTAGACAAAAACAAACAGATAAACAAAACAAACAAACGGATATAGCTGCTAGTTTCAATATGAACCTGAATCTCATTTTATAAATGGATAAGCCTTCGCATTGGACATGCATATCACGTGCAGCCTTATTTCCAGGTATTTGGAGTGTGTTAATGCCTTCCTGCTATGCTTTAATTCCCAGACACCAAGTCTTTAAGGAATTGTTTAAAAGACTTTCGAAGGAGAGCCTGTCTGGCAAGTGTGTGTTTAACAAAAACCAAGTAGATTACTGTTATGCTAATAGCACGGACTTTAAAGGGGCTAAACTTTAAATACACAGAGAAAAATGATGCCATCATGGGTGACTTGGAGCGCTATGTTAAGGTGCTTTCTGAAAAGAAAAATTAAGACAACAACCAATGGCATATATTTACAATTCAGTGTTGGACGTTTGTAGCCAATGACATAATAAATGTACGAAGCAAGTTCAGTTACTTGCCCTATAATTGGACACTGGCTAAACATGAGCCATTTATTTCCTCGAGAATTACGCAACACTAGTGTAGAAACTAAAAACTCAGAGTTTAAGTGAAAATAGCAAAACGCGATCTGCCGAAATCTGCCAGCGTTCATACTTGTTCCATCAGTTAGTTGTGTGCATCTGTGTGGATAGTCCAAGGTATTGCTTATTCGGAGTGCTTGGTTCTATATGAAGAGGCAGGAATTCGTTTATTTTAAAGTGGTCCGCATTTTGTTAGGATGGACGTTATCCACTCTTTGCACCAAAACAGAAGATAACGGTTAGTCATCCTGTGTTGTAGTACTTTTATCACCCTGAAGATGCCGTGTTTCCATATGACAGTGCACCAATCCACATTGCAAGCTTTGTTGCTGGAAAAAGCTTCCAATCGGCCTATTTTTTGTCTCTTCAGACTTCGTTGATATATTCCAAATTAATTTCGCCCGTGTATTTGTTCTCCGACATTCCTAAAAGAATTGCGCTCGGTTCCCATTGAGTCATAGTGCAACATTCCTAACACCTTATAATGGCTGGAGACGGCTTGAATGGGTAATGAAGAAAAACTTTAATATAACAGCAAATGTACAACGTTTCGACAAGGTTTTGTCATCATCAGGTACCTTGTCGAAACATTGTACATTTGCTGTTTTGTTAAAGTTTTTCTTCATTACCCATTCAATCTGTCTCCAGCCATTATTAGTCTCAAAGTGGGTTCCTCGTCATCAAATTTTAATTATTGCAGTACAACTAACTTTCATAATATTGTTAAAGCTAAAGTTGTCATTAATTGAGACTTTATTTAAACTCCTTTTACATATTCCATTTACTGTAGTTTTAATTATTTTTTTTGGTTGTTTTAGAATTTTTTTCATAAAGCTAGCTATCCATAGCTTTGAACTGACAGGCTAAAGAAAAGGTAGCTAGTCAATGGCACCCACTTCCAACTCTTAGGTTACTCTTTTCTGAACAATGGGATTTGACTGTCATTCTTATAGTACACCAATGGCCCCAAAGTACACAGTATAATTCTGTGACAAAATGCAAACTATATATCTCAGGTTCACAGTCGTTAGGCCATCACCATTTTTTCAGTATTCTGCATGCCTTGCAATTGTTTTAAAAGTTGTAGAATAATTGGGAAATAAAATATGTGCAATACTGTACTAGCACTTTCTTTATAGAAAAGTATTTATTCTCTGTTGATTTTTGTTACCTGATAAATGACAAGTCTTGAATGTTCACCTTGACAGAAGAGGTCTTGGACTGAACAGGTTTAATAACCCGTGGCCTAAGACATTAGTAGTTTGCAAAATTTACCCTCCCAAAAATATTTAGTTAAAACTAATTTAAACCCACTCCTCAAAACGGAGACATTTATTTGGAACTTTTAAGATTATTTTGCAAAGCATAACTTCACCATTTCAGATTCCCATCTTGACAAACCCTAGTGAAAACTAAGTTAGTAGCATTTCAATCAGAAGAAACAGAAACCCACATTTAGCATTAGTAAACATAATGCAAACTACAAAGTTTTGGGGGAACCTTGATATTTTCATCCAGTCATCTCATTAAAAAGATCTTTTGTTTCACCAGAGACAAAAAAGTAACTGTTTCAGACTGTACCTGTGCACTTTTCTTCAATATCTTTTCTCCATTCACTCTAATCCTGCTCTCATAAAAAGCTTCTTCAGCTTTACTGAAAATTAAAAAGATCATTCAAAATAGTAACTTCTACAATTCTGTAAGCTTGGTCAACAGTTATACAATGTGGGCAACAACTTCATTTTGGATTAGAAATCATTAAAGATATAATCATATGTCATATATAACTAATTTCATAGTAATAAAAGATTTTGCATTTCCATAACCAGAGTCTGGGATATACAGTAACGTGTGGTTTCTTCATGATCAAACAATTGTCCATTTACGTAACTGCTTCTTGCTAAGTCAGAAATCACCGTGGACTTTTAAAACAATAAATTAAAAATGTAGTTACTTGCTATACAAGGAAATCTATGAATTCCACCAAAAATGTTGTATCAAAATCCTAACAAAAATCATTTAATTTTAAAACTTTTCACTTGTAGTACCAATCAGAAGTCAAAAGTTTTTCCACAAAACTTGCTAGCTTTCACTTTCATAGCCATATGTCAATGGTAAGGAGATTTAAAAGTTAAATATGAAACTATTTGCCTTATTTGGTGAAAGTATTCAGCATTGTAATGTTTAATAATATACACATATAAATAAGGATCAAAGATGACCACTATGGAAGATATAAGCAATGTATCTAACAACCAAATTAATGTGTCTGATTACAGTACATATACACCTATTTTCATTATGCTACCATGTCATTTTACTAGGAGTACAACAAACTGTTCAAACTGCCACAACTTTTTATTTCAACTTTGGTTTAATTTTTTCACTCCTTTTACTTCAGTGATGATTCACACCTGTATACTCAGTTCAATGGTGAGCTCTGAGTAGCTTCATTCATACAGCAAAACCCCTTACAAGCCTGTTTTTAACACAGCAAAATCTATCAAGATTTTGTTCATCAGAATCAAATACATTTTAAGGGACAATATATATAGTAAAATCTGACAAGATTTTATTCATAAGAATCGTGCATTTTAAGGGACAATATACATATTAAAATCAGACAACAAGATTTTGTTCATCATAATCGTGCATTTTAAGGGACAATATATATATTAAAATCAGATAACAAGATTTTGTTCATCAGAATCAAATACATTTTAAGGGACAATATACATATTAAAATCAGACAACAAGATTTTGTTCATCATAATCGTGCATTTTAAGGGACAATATATATATATTAAAATCAGATAACAAGATTTTGTTCATCAGAATCAAATACATTTTAAGGGACAATATACATAGCAAAATCTGACAAGATTTTATTCATCATAATTGTGCATTTTAAGGGACAATATACATATTAAAATCAGACAACAAGATTTTTGTTCATCAGAATCAAATAAGTTTTAAGGGAAAATATACATATTAAAATCAGACAACAAGATTTTGTTCATCAGAATCAAATAAGTTTTAAGGGAAAATATGCATTTGAAAAATTACCAAACCTTACAGCAGTACAACCAGAGGAAACAAAAATTTGTATTGATGGTTAAAGAGGAAGTGATAGTTTTGAAATGATTATAGAACAGAAGGATAAGATTACTCTTTTTATCCACAAAGTAATCTTAAGATAGTTAATAATGAGGCAAGTAGCACACAAGATTATCAAAGTTAAATCTCCTTAAAGTAGGAAATTATCAATCATATAAGAGAAATTACTGACACTAGCTGTAAAGAATAAAGGCAAGTATAGCATTAAAACTATGCTATTCAGTTCTGGGTATCTTCTCAACATGCACTATGTCAAATCACCAATACAGGTACATCTCCATTCACCAAGCAGACAACTGATACACTAGTGACAGAATATTTCATTCATCCTCAAGTGTTGTAACAGAAATATGAAAAATTACAATTCACCAGCTTAATCCAGTTCAAACCATACAGTTGTTGTAAAGTGATTTTTTTGCCAATATAAATAGTATCTCAACTACTACCATATCCAGCTTATCCCAGATATCCTGAACAGACCTGGTGTAGGGCAAAAAGCCTTGTCAATGCTGGTTACAGCAGTTATAGTGTGTTTGATACATCATTATACACTCATCTTTACTCTCACCCAGAAGTTCTTAATAATAATAATTAAGAATGAGGTCATTTGGTATTTAAACAGTCTCCGTTCTTATAATATTAAAGTAACTACAGAGAAATATAGCGAGGTTAGACACCGTGTAAACTTTTTCAGAATAAACAAAATTAAATGTATTTTTTCCATGACCTCAGACTTCCAATTCAAGAATTTAGGTTATATTCTATTTAAAGTAATATTCCTAGTTGTTAGCAGGTTAAAAATTAAATTTACATGTATTATTGTCCTTTCCAAGCACCTAAAACGTTAACAGTTTATACTGTCTTTTATTATTTTGATAGCTTGCACTGGAAAAATGTTATTTTTCATAGTTTGTACATAATGTATATTACCTGGAGAATTTTTATCTTAAGATTGAAAATGTGTATATACTTTCATACTTTAAATACGTAGTAGTGAAATACATATCTTACTTAACAGTATATATAATTTTACAAGCAGGCTACATAAACGTGTGGCTAACCTGCGAGACATGCCTAGACCATGCTTCAGGATTACATCCAACCGCAATGAATTTAAATTTGCTTTAATATCTTTATAGTCCTTTGCAGCTTCATTTTCATCATCTCTGTCTTCTTCTTCTTCATCATCATCTTCAAACTAAAAATTTCAAATAAATAATGCATTTCAGATTTAAAGCCTAAGTTAAATAAATGCCAGAACATTAAATATTAAAAAAAAAGCATCTCAGCTTGCAGTGAAAATTACCACTACATATTTTAGATATTCAACTAATTGTGAAAAGATGAAAGGTGAGTGGGTGAGCTAAAGGCAAGTTTATTTTAGTAAACATAATGTCATCCACTCTGCAGCATGTGGTTGTAACCTTACACTTTGTTGAGAAATACAGTAAGTTTACAATTTATTGGTAACAACTGTAGGCACTTACACATTCTGCATACAAAAGATCAAACTCAAAAACTGTCAAAACTCCAAAAATGTCTTTAAATTAAAATCATTGTGTGATACAGTAATCTGAAAGAGGGGATTCTTCAAATATATGAATACTTTGATTACAAATATGGGTAATTTATGTAAGTTTGTACATTAAGTTGCATTTTGGTCCAGTGCCCTTAAATAATTAAAAGCGAATAATTAGATGTTTTTCTCCTTACATCACAAATATGTTAGAATTTTAAAAGAGACATTAATAAATCATATTGGTCATAAACAGACTGTTTGGCTTCTTGGTAACAGAAGGATTAATACTAAAAGTTGAAACAATGTCCATTTGTATAATCTACATAACCAACTTTTTATACTATGTGTAATTTACAAATTGAAGGAGTATCAACGGGTATTTCAGTTGCAACATACCATGCTACCGATATGTTATTTTATTTTACTTATGTAAATTCTTACATTGAAGATCCTGTTATTAAACAATCTGAAGAGGAAGTTGTTAATAATTGTAATGACTACAATTTTCGTTTATTGTACTTGTTTGATCACAACTCTATTTATTGATTCCAGTTCACAACATAGACATGAAGATGACTGTGCAGAAGCTTCAACTAATTTATCATCTTTTTATAACTTGAAGATGCTTCATTTCACATGCCACAGACATCCAGTAATCTCTTCCATCTCATAATGGTGGTTATCATCTTTTTACCACTCTCAAATCAAAACAGTATGGCTCTCTCATTACTAGACACACCCATTCCATCCTAGTTCTTGTCTGAGGATACATTTTTTTTGTTGGGGGAGGGGCATGAGGAATGATGTTAGAATTCTTCTATAGATTATTTGAGCAAAGGTGAAGTGGGAAGAACCCATCAAGTTCAGAGTGACACTTGGAGAGAAAGTCTTGGATGGAGGCCTAATCTACAAGTGTCACTCTGTACTTTGCAGTTGCTGCCCATTTCACATTTATTTGAAGTTAGCATTACTTCTTCCTTCACATGCAGGCATTTGTTGACAAGTAACGTAACATTTATAATCATATTACCAAGTCCGTATTACATTATACACTAATAACTTATGACTTGCATGTTAATGATAATTTAGGAGTATATTACTTAGATTTTGTGCAATCATCTTTCCTGAAAATCTAAACTATTATGTGAATCAATGATCACATGATATTGAATGTACAAGGTGTTTATTATTGATTGGTTTGTTTCAGAAATATGTAAAATATTGTAAACATAACATCCACATACACTGAGCTGCAGTGATAAATACCTAACTACTGGGCTTGCTTGCATGTAGGACAACCTTCTGTGTACAAGCTACATAATGTAGTTTACAGTCTACCAGTGCCTGATATTAATGTTAATAATAAATTGGGTATAGTATTGTTTGTTTGGTTATTTTACAGCAAAGCCGCATTGGGCAATCTGCTGTGTCCACTGCAGGGAATCGAACCCAGGATTTTTGCACTGTAAATCTATAGACTTACTGCTGTCCCATCTGGGAAAAGTACCCATAGTGTTATTGTCTTCACTGCTCAGTATGTTAATATCACTTGTGGTTTGTGGAATATGTACATGATAATAGGTGTTGTCTGCCAACAGACAACTGCATCTCAAGGAAGAAATAATGCTAACTTTGCTTCTCACAATATTTTTGAAATTATTACAAAAACCAAAGTTATAAAATTTGAAAGACTCCCATTCAACTGTTGTAACATATATTTGTCTTTGTTTAATCTACTTTTCTGAGTGGTGCATTGTGTAATTTTCCTAAACCAATCATGATACAGAGGAAAAATCACTACCATACAATTAGCACGACTGGCAGAAAATTGGTATAGAAGATTTTATCAGAGAAGTTCTAGTCGTTATACTGAACTGATTAACTCGATCTTGTGACCCAAAACAAACAGAAATAATCAAATATTATTCTATAAGTGAATTCTGTAATTAATATTAATTTCCTGTCAGAGTAAGCTATGTACTTAAAGCAAAACTAAAAATTAACCTTGCAATCAGTTTAACTAATTAAGTATACCTTTCTTATATGCCTTCTCATAATGACTAGAATGTATTATTTCATCAGTTGGATAATATTTTTGGATGTAATCCCAAGCTGGATCTTGGCTTGTACTGTAATAAACTGGCTAAACCAATTTGGTTGAGGAACACATATTTAAAAGCTGAAATTTCACTACTGATTAAATCAAGTGTTCATTCTTGTGTTTTTTTAATGATATCCACTAAGTAATGTATCACAAGAAACTAACCTGCATTAATACATTTTTTATTTTATGGTTCAGCTTTTATATGCTGATGAACAACTCAAAATGGAGTAACTTCCTTTTTCTAAAGAATCAATACAAAATAACCCCAAAACACGACATTTATCAACAATATAAAAATATAAGTTTATCCTTACTGAAAAATAGAGAAGGATATGGAAAAAATCTTGAAGATAATCAAGCAGAAATGACACTCATCTCCTGTGTAAAGTCACAAGGCACATGTTAATGTCGCAGACTGTCAATATAGCCCCTTTATATGGCACATAACATGTGTCAACATGCAATACTAAACAGAAATCTTCAACAACTATATTATGCCAACATTTGTAATTTTTATATATATCTTATATATTTTTAACATTTGCAAAAAGAAAAAATATTGCTTTAGCTATTTCAAAATTTGACTTATCTCTTCTGTTGATACAAACTGCAAATCTGTGTCACCACCCTAGAAAAAACATTCTATATGACAGTGAAATATTTTGATCAAATGATTACTAAGTGAATGATTAAAATATGTAACAAGTGTTTTGACATAATTATGACCTCCACGTACCACCACATTTCTAGAATAGATGACTGTTTCACTACTGAAATAAAAGTGAATTAATAACAACGGGTTTCTAGTTTTCAAAGATTGGCAGAAACTAAACTTCCTTACATACACTTGATACCTGTTCAACTGGTAAAAAAGCACCAAAAAATCATATAATTAAGTTTTTGTTTTATTGTTTGTTGACCAGCTTAATTTGAACAAAAACTACCATATGTATGTGCAAAAAAATCTATATAAAAATATATTAACTGTTAAATGCTTTACCATAAACTGAATTTCAAGCTAAAATGAATGAAAAACATATTAAGTGTAGTAAATATACTTGCAACATAATACCGCCAACAAAATCAATACTGTTACATCCATAAATGTAATCCTACATATAAATATAATACATGCCATTTAGTCTAACTTTTCAGGACTAGAAGACAATAGAGCTGGCCAAGTGCAACTTCTTTGCAAGATGATAATGACTTTTTAATTTGTATCACTTAAATACATCTAAAAACAAAACCCATCTATCTGAAAAAAGTAAATCTAAAGAAAATGCTAACATAATTCCATTTGTTAATATAATTACAAGAAAATTGATCAAAAGTATAAGATTTCATGACTTTATTGACCAGGTGGTCTTACTGTTGCTAGCCGCTACCATTGATAAGAATTTTACAGAAAGTTTATTTACTAAAAATCTCTTATGAGATTAAAATATTACTGAATATTAAAACATAATTATGATTCCTTTAATTTTATAACATATGGATATCAAAGGCTATTTGAACCTTCAAGACTGACCTTGAAACACCCACCCATATGAAAAGTAAAACTTTAAACCCACCCTTTTGTTTTAAAATGCCTGCCTCACTACTGCCAATGTAACTCACCCTATAAGATAAAAAACAAAACCTACTAAAACTGAAGTGTAGCCTAGCTGTCTTTTGCTGAAAGTTGTGCCCTCCTGTCTTCAGAAATACAGCAAAAAGAAATCAAGGCCTTTATCCAATAAATGTCTTGGATAATCTTGAACTTCAAAAAGATCACCTCTCTTACTCTTCTTAGGAGAAAGAAAGTTAACAAATCTTAACCTTTGCCTATAAGATAACCCTTTCAACTTTGGTTCATATGAGTAGCCTTCCTCTGAACCCTTTCCAATAAGTCAATATCCTTCTTCAGGAAAATAAACCAAAACTGTACACAATATTACAAATAAAACCTAAGCGAGTAAGTCATATATAGAGATAATTATCTCTTCCAACTTTCAATCAATATATATGAATACACTTAAAAATTATATCAGCTTTACTTCTTGCAACAGAACACTGTTTTGGTGGCTTGAGTGACTTATCCACTAAGAGTAATATGCCAAGATCCTTCTCTTCAGTCATGCTATTGCCTTGGTTCCCATCTGTATTCATCATTCAAACTGATCCATATTATGATAATCCAAATGCATTGCCTTGATTTTACAATAATTAAAGGTCATTTGCCAAATATCTGTCCAACTCACTAACTGATTTAAGTCATTCTGTAATACCTGAACATCCTCAATACTGTTAAAAACACTCAAGAGTTTAACGTCATCAGCAAACTATTAATTATACCCCGTAAATACCATTAATGGAAATAAGGAAAAACGAAGGCCCAAGCATTGATCCCTGAGGTAGTACCAATAACATTAAGATTAATAAGGGTCCAGTTTGACTAGGTTCCATGGCATTAATAATAATAATAACAAATAACATAATAAATCAATCAAAACCAATATAAAAATGTGGTTTTCTTACTTCTTGTTCTAATTTCTTTGAAGATTTCACATATCTTGTATTCCGTGTAGACATTTGCTTATAGTTTGAAATATGTGAGCAATACAAGGTGTCCGATTTGTTTAACGTTAGAACTACTAAAGTTGACAAGTGATAACTGCCACTATTAATATTAAACTTAGCAGTTTTAAAATCTGTATAAGGCGAACTAGTCACTTCAGATAATAAAGTAAATATATGTCTACATGACTTCAAATTCAAGCCATCCATAAAACTTTTTGTATTACTATTAGGCTTTATTTTCATATACCCACTCAATGTGCTATAATTATAAAAAACATTTTGTCTTTCAATTTCTTGCCTCATTGTGTTCAAATGCCAACTACAACTATGATTAATAATACTGTTAGTATTATTAACCCTAACGTTATTTATAAATCGCAAATTAGGCATAGTTAAAAAACTGGAATAATTCCTTCTTTTGAATTTATCTGGCATATAAAATGGAAAACGGTTACTATCAAACTTTAAAATCCTTTTAAGTTTAACAACAGCAACACTGCCATAAGGTTGCCAAAATTTCATTTTTAATGCATCAACTGCGTAATATTATTACTTGTTACCGTCCAGTGTACTCTACCGTTACAAACTCTACTAATACTATGTTTCCACTTGTCTTAAGATTTTCTAATTCTAGCGGTGTGTATAAAAATCCTGAAAAAATCAACTAGTGATCCTGAAATATATAATAAAACAACCATAATCGATTCAAAATACTTCCTTATACAATCATTTGGAGTATTTCCTCTGTATTATTATTAGTGAAAGTCACGTACTAATTTTATTATCAAATACGAAAAGATTTATTTAAAAAGTGGGTGAAAAAATAATGCAACTATAGTTTATTCAAAACACTTTTTATACAGATGTTTAGAGCATTTCGTGTTTTATTATTAGTAAAATACACTTAATTAAATTCTAGTTTCAAATATGAAAAAGATAATTAAAAACTGTTGAAAATTATAAAGTAGCATACACAGGATAACTACTAGAAAACTGTTTTTAGTTCTAGTTGCAAGAGTAATCATATACGCAAAAAACAAAACAAAAAACGTTTCATTAAAAATCCGTTTATTAATAAATAATAATAATAATAAAAACATTTCCAATACATCTCCTGATGTTGTTTTTGCTTCTGCCAATTTTCACCCTTTTCTTACCATCAGTGTCCTTTCTTCTATTGGTAGTGATCATCTTCTTATCAAAGTTCAGCTACAAAACACTTATGCCTCCTTGAATAGAGTTGTTTAAACATTGTTTAATAACAAATAAAAGCTTGGAATGGT